ATGCCAAGAGCAAGGATGTAGCTTGGAATTCTCTTCTTTAGAGGAACTTCAAGACCATATTCATCTCAGCACCCATAGCAAAGAAGCAGCATCAGAGAGCTTGTATGATGGAATTAGACGTGGCTGGGTATCAAAGTTCTCTTCACTAACTCTAGAATCAAGAGTAACGTCCACAGTAGAGGAAGTGACAAGTGAAGGCAGGGACAAATGTCATAATATGGGCTGGGCCCTTCAGAAACCAAGAGGGGCAGGAACGAGGTTCACGGAAAATGTAAAGGTCTATCTGACAATGAGATTTGACGATGGTGAGAAGACTGGTCGGAAGGCTGATCCAACCCAAGTAGCAGCTGACATGAGAACAGCCAGGGACATCGAAGGAACAAGAAAGTTTAACAGAAGCGAATGGTTGACAAAGACGCAAGTGCAAGGGTTTTTTTCAAGACTAGCTTCAATGAAACAAAGGAAAACGTCAGTTGACCAAGTGTAGGAAGAAGAAGACGATGATAACAGTCTCATCGAAGACAAAATCGGTTACCTTGATGAGACGGCTAGACAGAATGCAGTGGAAGATATTGTGAGCCAAGTGGGATTGATCCATCCTATCACTTACGATGGTCATGACAGCTGCGAGCATGCCAGGCACAACACGCTATCGAGATTCAATGTCACGATGCTAAAGGCTTTGTGCGACCATTTTGAAATTCCGTATCAAGCCAGAGAACGAAAGTCGTCTTTAATGGACAAGCTGAAGGACATGGTCAAAGAATGTTCGTGCCATAAATAGATTCAGTGGCTCGTCACTTTGACAAGACACAGTTTAACTGACACCAAGCCCTTTCTTGTAAAAAACTGTACGGCCAGTGTTGTTGTGCTGCACTAAAGGTGGAAGGATTCAATTGCATCTTTCAGTTTCATTGCTGCTAGGGAAAACAGTCCTGTTTAGTGAATGTAAGTCTGTTTTAACACAACTTTCAATTCAGCTATGTTAATGCTTGTGAGGAGAAGAAATTGTAATACAAGGTATATGCAGAAGTGTTATCAAAAATGTATTTTTCTCTCGGCTATTATGGCACCGTGAGAATACGTCTCGGGTTTGCCTAACTGTCTCAAATTCTCCAAACCCTCCTCGTGTTTAGATGAGGCTATGTAAGCATGGAAAAAGTGCTCTATTGCTTAAATATGTTTCGTGAGCCGGAGAAATCAAAGACAAACTAGTTTCATGGCCAATAGTTCTGGTTCGTCAGATAAAAGGAAAGGGTACTAATTCTATAAGCACAAAGTGA